GTTAGCAGCCCCATGAGTAACCCCATCGGTCATCAGGGCTGCATTCGCCATTTGGGAGATGCAAATCAAACCCACAAAAAGACACCACTCCATTCTCATTCTCTTCCTCCCTGTCATCAAAATCAATTCCAATTCATAGCCACCCTACTGAGAAATAGAATTGCCCCAGTGGGGTTTTGGTACCTCCTTTTACATTTGTTATGGGAGTAGAAAGTCTCATCTTTCTCCCGAGGAATAACTGGTAGTTTTGAACTGCTGGTCTTGTGGTTAATAGTCCAACACATAACCCACTACACTACCAGGGTTCACTCCCACAAGGATCAGAAAAACCACAATCAACGAATGTAGGCTGGTGGGGTGGCAAAATGAAAAAGTCACTGTTTAAACATGAAACAACCTTGTGACTCAGGAATTCCACTCCTAGGCTTACACCCAAGAGACCTGAATGCAGCAACACAGACACCGTGCATACCAGCTCATAGTCGTATGCAGAAAAGCCAAAAGGTGAAAAGCACCTACAAGTCCATGAAAAAACGGGGAAAGAAGTGATATGTCCAAACAAAGGAATGTAACTCAAGCCTAAACAGAGAGCAGGCCCTGAAACCCACCACCAAATGGACGGAGCCAGAAAACGTGTGAGGAGTGAAGGCAATCGATCCCAAGAGGACAAACTTCCAAGAGCTCACCTGTGGGATGTAGGACGTGCCTAGCGGAGCAAACAGAGAGAGGGCAAAGGCTCAGCGTGGTGGCCAGAGGTGGGAGGGAAGCAGAGGAGTCACTGTTGAGGAGGCAGTGAGTTCTTGTTTAAGGAACGGATATCGGAGAGAGGTGCACAACATAATGATTAACATCACTCAATCATATACGTGAAAAGTTAAATCGATAATGATGGACTCTGTATTTCTCATCATTTAAAAAATAAGTTTCCAGAAACAAGTACCTATGCATTCCCCACTGCACCCTTTGCACCGTTCTCCAAGGCTCTGTCACAAAGCGGCTGCAAGAATAGGCTCAAAGGCATGGACAAACGTCCAAAAGAGCAGGAGTAAGCAGTGTTTCATTCTCCTGCAGAGATGCCCCATGAGTCAGACAACTAGACAGCACCTAACAATACATGCTCTGAACGCCTTCAAAAGGGCTTTCTTAATATCTTAAAGGGCAACTCTGCACGCCAAGCCAGTCACAGTATAAAACCTGGTACACACAGGCAAGGCAGCACCCGATGCCATCTGAATGTGGTTTGCCCACTGAGCCTGTGGCAACCGGCCACCCACCTTCTTTAAAAAGTGCCTGGAAAGACAGTGTTAAGATAACCTTCGGACTGGGAGAAAAATGAAAGAGTCAGGTAACCAACAAAGAAAGGTCTAATACCCAAATATATACATATATATACATTTCTTTTTTCCCCAAACTATTTTTCTGGGAGCTCTTACAGATATCATACCATTCCATAGTTCAATCACATCGAGCAGTCTTGTACAATGGCTACTGCAATTAGTTTTAAAACATTTTCTTCCTTCTTGAACTCCTTGATATCAGTTCCCCTTTACCGTCATCCTTCCCCACTGTACCCCCCAGGAACCCTTATTCTACTTGTTGTCTCTATACGTTCCAAACATATGTTTAAGAACTTCTACAACTTACAGACAAAAAAGACAAACCCAATGAAAAATGGACAGCGGACTTGAACATTTCACCAAAGAAGATATTCAAATGGCCAACAAATACATGAAATCAAAATGACAATGAGTTATCATGTCACTATTATTAAAATGGCAAGGCTGTGGAGAAACTGGATCCTTCCTCCACTGGTGTTGGGAGCATAAAATGGTATGATTACTGTGGAAAACATTTTGGCAGTGCCTCAGAAAACTGAACAGTGAACTACAGATTCTACGAATGTACTCAAACGAGGTGAAGGCAGGTACAAAGTCAGAAGCCTGTCTACCAACCATCATCACAGTCCTTAGCATGGGACCCAAAGGATGGAAACAACCCAAATGCCCATTCGCAGATGAACGGATGAGCAGTAAGTGGTATAAACAGTCCCAATGCATGCTGCAACATGGGCGAACCTTGGGAACACCCCGCTGAGAAAACTCCGTCCGTCAAAAAAACAGTACTGTATGATCTCGCTTAGATGAAATAAGCAAGGTGAAAGAAACCAAAACTCTAAGTGGTACCAGGGGTAGGAGGAAGAGGGAGTTTCTCTTTAAGGGCCAGAAAGTTGATACTCACGATGACAGAATGATTTAGAAAAGGGCAGCAAGGGAATAATTGCACAACTTGAAGAATGTAATCATGTGAGATCTGTGAATATTATAGCAAGAAAAAGACTAAAAAAAAATTGTCATCAGTGTCACAGAATTAAACATAGACAATGTTGAGATGGGCTTATATTTTTAAGCATATTTTCACCTTAAAAAAAAAAAGGTGACTGCCTATCTCCCTCCATACAAATTCCATATATTGTCTCGTTATTTGTTGTTGCCTACTTCTCCACTACAATGCAGATTCTTTTAGAACAGAGACAAGTTCTAGGTCCCCTCCTCTTAGGGCCTATGGTAGCACTCAATAACTGCATGGTACATCAGCCAATGAATGACTGGCTCCCTTAAATGCAGGATCCACGGTAGCTGGACCTTGAAGAAAGGCAACCAAGGAATTGGCCTAAGAATGATGGTTAAAAAAAAAAGAAATCTGTACTATAAATTATAGAAACAAAACTATATATGCACTGCTCCAACCTTGTACTTGGTTCTATTTAATATTTGGTAAGATGATATGTAATGTTATCTTTTTAACAATTCTTTTATAATGTTGAAACAGTACCTATATGAAATATGACTAGCATTTACAA